GCTTTCAAGGCCTGCTGTGTAGCTGTTTTCCTGGAGCTTTTAGCAGAATCCACCTGTTGTTACATGTTTTATTTCCAAAAGCTCTTTCTTTTTCTCTCTCTTTTTAAAATTATTATTAAATTTTTTTTTCTTTATTGACTTTTAGAGAGGAAGAGGGAGAGAAAGATAGAAACATTGATGAGAAAGAACATCATTTGGCCGCCTCCTTCATGCCCCCCACTGTGGATTGGGCCCACAACCTGGGCATCTGCCCCTGATCGGGAATTGAACTGGCGACCTCTTGGTGCATGGATCGATGCTCAACCACAGAGACACACTGGCTGGGCCCAACAACTCTTTCTTATTACCTAAATTTCCTTTTTCTTTTTATGGTATAGTCCTCTTAGTTTATGGATGCAATAACTATTAATATTTCTATACAGAATAATTATAGATTTTTAAGAAGGGTATCTTTTTTCTTCCCCTTGAATAATCTTTCTTTCTTCTGAATTATTTTTTCTTTGGTTTTGTTCTCTGACTCTTGTATTAGAGACTTTCCTTCAGTGTCTTTTGACCTTGGATATGTTTTTGTTTGGCAACTAGACGCTCTCTGCAGAGACTAAACTTCTTGACTTTACTCTCTGTTGAAGAGAAGGTGGTAAGATGTCCTTTGGGTGACTCCCAAATGTCATCATATACAGGTCTTTCTTTTGGCCTGTCAGAGTCAATATTCTGCTTGAATACTATGAACCTGGCTTCCAATATTGTATGAGTTGAAAAACATCCCCAGTTTCCCCTGGGCTTTGCTAGTTATTTGGGTGCACAGTCGCTGTTCCTTCCTAGAGCCTGATATACCATATCCCTAACCCTACCCCTGCCACACACACAGAGTGTTAACTGACCAATGCAGGATTGTAGGGTACAACCCACCTGGATGACCCAGCTGCTCCATAATTTTAACGATAACCGTGTTGAATGTTCCAAAACACCCACTTTCTCCAGTTTCTCCTGCCTTTGAGCGCAAGGCACTGTTACCATTTAGAGCAATGCGTGGCAAGTTAGTCTATGCTGTGATTTCCTGCTGTAAGCTTTCTGTTTTTCAGTAGTAACCCAGGTTTGGGGATCCATTAAGAGTTTGCCTTCTTTTATTTTATCAAGTTGGATGTAGCTTTTTAAAAACATCTTTTCTCTTATTTTTAGAGATTTGTTATAAGACCAGAGAGCTAGATCTTTATTTTTTCTAATTCTATTCAGTTTGCACTTTGACTGGCAGCTTGAAGCTGAACATTTTAACATTTGTTATTGATTGCAGTTCCTTTTAGGTTAATTGTCTTATTTTTATCCATTTTTATATCAATATATTTAGAATCTATATTTTTATCAATATTAACCTTCTATTATATTTGCTGAGTATGTTTTTCAGTTATTTTAAAATTTTTAGTTATATTTTTCATGGGAATGAAATTTCATATCTTAGTATAATCAATTTTTCAATCCTTTTCTTTGTAAAAGATATTTTATAAATGTCTGAAAACTTTGATTATTTTTAGTTTTTCTTGTAGTGTAGACTTTAAATATTTATCTTATTATAAAATTATTTTATAATTTTCTCAAGTATGAGTCTATTCCCCCTAAAATTTCAAAATCGTTAACTTTCTTGACTGTATATTAACTAACTTGTAAATTTCCATCAGTTATTTCTAATATCACATATTTAGTTTATTTGCAAAATGTGCTATATTTCTGTGCTTTCAACTCTGTTCTATTGATATATTTTTTCTATTTCATGCCCATATTCACTATGTTAATTTTTATTTTTAATAATTTATTGGTTGATCTGATTTCATTTGCTGCTTTTTCAATTATTATTTAATAGTTTTTTTCATTCATACAGTATACAGTTATTCTGACCTAGGTTCTAAAGATTAAAAGACGAGTAAGATTTTTTCTGTCTTCAAGGAGTACAGATTCTCAGAGGGCGTGATCAGTTCATATTGAGGAGTTTCAAGAAGACTCCTTTGAAACATCAAGTTGGAAGTAAGGAATAAACTTAAGGAAAAGCTTAAGTTAAGTCTTCATATATGGGTAGAACTTCACAGTGAATGATATATTTAAAAATACATGGAAAGGTGCAGATTCAGGGATGGCTGGAGCTAGGGTAAGAACATGAGGAGTAGCTGAGTATGAGACTGGAGAGCTGGACATCACTCATTTATAATTCTAATTAAATTTTGTAATAATTTGGTAAAGTTCAAAACCATTCCTATTCAAATCTTGATCAGGATAACATTAAATATATTAGGTATGCCATAAATAATTACTGAATTGAATTAAGTGATGTCATTTGTTGAAGAATGGAGTAGATAAAAGTAATAAAACATAATGTACAGTATGTGCTGGTTTTTTAACAATATTAAAAAATTAAGAGTACAGTAAACTCAAGATGTATGTTCCTTTTCAAAGTTACAACTCCAGAAAGGAAGACCACCCTCTTCAAGAATAATCAGTCAGCTTTAAGACAGGGAACACAAAAATCAATTGCCCTGATTTTACTGGAGCTGTCTACAGTTCTCATTAGTATGTGGCCTACTATAAAAATAGGGAAAGTTCTATCAGCCAGTAGAGCCCCGTGGGATAGGAGTCATTCAACACAGCAGTAAGGAAGGAATTGTCTAAGGGAAACAAAAAGGAACAGCTAGAAGTATACTAATTGCTTTAGAATGTTGCTGGTAAAATGAGACCTAGAATGTAGCTCTGAGAACAGTATGGACATCGGAATAATTTTTTATTATTAAGTTCTAACAATGTTTAAAAGACAGAAGGGGATAATTCAGTAAAGGTGGAGAGGTTGAATGTTTTAAAGAGAGGAACCTACTCTGAACAAGAGTTCTTTAGAAAATGTGAAGTAGCTTGTTCCATGACACAGGGAGGAAGGGGGCACACTTCTTAGAATTGCAACAAGGATAAAATCAGAAGATGTAAAGAAAGAGATGTTGAGGGGCAGATGCAGAGAGCTAAACAGATTACACTGATGACTTCAATCTTGTAAATAATTGCATCCCCTGGACACTTACATCACAATCACTGAGGGGTGCTGGATAACAATTCATCTCTCTGGACAACTCTCCTTAGAAAATGATATCAGGTTAGTCCAGCTATAGTTTGAGAACCACTGATCAAACAAAGTAGAATACTATCTGCAGGATGTGTCTACATTATTGAGAAAGAATTACTGTTTAGGAAAAGAGCAAAAGATTAGGGTGGACAATTAAAAAGGATAAAAGAATTTAAAAAATTTCTGAGCAGAGCCTATTTGGAAGTTGGGAAGTGAGAATTTCTGCCAGAGAAGCTGGCTCAGCTCTGGAATATGGCTCAGTGTGTCTCCATGACTTCTTCTACAGTAAAGTGATTCCACCTAAAAACACTGTGATCACTTCTCTACTTGTCAGGGCCTAGGAAGACTTGCTAAAGCAGGCTGCTGAATCAAAGACATGAAGAAAACTCGAACAATTTCTCTTCCTTTGGGCCTGAGAAACATACCTTTCTTGGCAGGCAGAGTTAATAACGCTGATTGCTGCATACACCTGTGGGTGTGTGTATTCAGAATTTTGGTTTCACATATTTCTGATGAGCCCAGCCAAAATGTGAGGCCAGACTTCCTCTGCTAGGTGTGGCTCAGTTCCCTTCTCAGATGCTGCTGCTCCTCTTGTGCATAACCTCAGATAAGCGGCCCACCTCCTGTGCAAGAAAACCAAAGTTGCTAGGCCCTGGTCTACTTCCTCATCTTTTTCTCTTTGTTTTCCCTTGAGTTATGTCAGCAACCTCTTAACTGATCTTAGGTCACCAGCCTCTTCCTTCCCCAGAACACCTTCAGAACTGCCAGAGTTACCTCTTTTGACATAGACTGACTACTAAACAAATGATGAAATATTTGTAATACGAATAGTAAATGCTGTAAGTACGTGCTGATGCTAAGGTTCCCCATCCCCACAGAGTGAAGTCCAAACAAATGAGAGATGCACAAGCTTTTTGCAACATGCCTTGTCTTCAAACACTTCCTCCTCCGTTCCTACCTTGCTCATTACCGGAACGCTGCATCCTTCTTATGATTTTAGTACACTGTATGCCCTTGTCCTTGACCAAAGTGGCCCTTCCAGTTTAGTTGCTGTTCTTCTTGTTGTTCCCCTGAGGATATGTACTAAATATCATCTCCTCTCTGAGCTTTTTTGGACCCTATGTTCTCTACCAAGGCATAATTAAATTTTCTTTTCATCTGAATTTCATAGTTCTTTATACAGATATCAAATGTTGCACTTAGAGTATTATAGTATACACTTATATTTTTGTTTCCACAATCTCTTGAATGTTGTGAGGCCAAAATTGGATTATTAAAATTTTAATTCTCCAATGCCTGACACATAGGATGTGTACCATCAATTTTAGGTGGGTATATTTGAACTTTTACTTTATGTAATCCAGAATGAAAGCACACAGGAAAGAAGCGTTCTTTGGTGCAAACAACATGGGCAACTCTTGGCATCATTTTTATAACAACAAGTCTTTTTTCCTATGTAATATTATATTTACAGTATAGCATTGATTAATTGGAATACTCGTAGAACCGTACAATTTCAATGGGAAGAAGTATTCTACAAGAGGTTCCTTTGATTTGCAGATGAGGAAACTACTCCTGTGCTTATGTCAAACCACACAAATAGCTTTCTTCAAAATCCTATTCAAAAATATTTTAAATTCATAAGTGTTAAACCATCCTTACATTCCAAGCAAATAAATCTGGAAGAGAACAAAATGTACACGGCACTTTAGTTCAGAGGAAATCCCAGTAAGGGCTCCTAACATGAGTTTAGGATGTCGAGGTGGGGGAAAGTCAAGCTACGTGATGAGAGACAATTGGAAGTACAAGGATGTATGAGCTATCAAGGGCATCAGAAAAACAACAGAGTGGGCATTGATTAATTTCTTTTCTCCAGAGTAATTGCGCCTCTTTTTCTCTTTAATAGGTTTCAGAACCTGCTGTGGTCCAGAAAGACATTTGTAGACAACATGAAAATTTATAACCACAGTTACATCTATATGCCTGCCTTTTCTATGAAGACAGGAACAGAGCCATCCCTCCGGGTTTATTACACACTGTCAGATGTCGGTGCCAATCAAACAGTACTCTTTGCTAACCCCAACTTTCTGCGTAGCATTGGAAAGTTCTGGAAAACTAGGGGAATTCATGCCAAACGCCTGTCCACGGGACTCTTTCTGGTGAGCGCAGCCCTGGGCCTCTGCGAGGAGGTGACCATCTATGGCTTCTGGCCCTTCTCTGTGAATATGCATGAGCAGCCCATCAGCCACCACTACTATGATAATGTCTTGCCCTTTTCTGGCTTTCATGCCATGCCGGAGGAATTCCTCCAACTCTGGTACCTTCATAAAATCGGCACACTGAGAATGCAGCTGGACCCATGTGAGGACACCTCGCTTCAGCCCACTGCCTAGGGACGGTGGGAAAAGAAAGAACTAAGCCAGGGTATTTTTGTTAGGTTTTCTACGTGACTGCAAAAGGAAATGGTGACGTCATTTTATGGATTTGCATGGGCCACTTGCAAACAGCAACCACCACGAAGGAAACTCTACTTTTAATGTTGTCTTGGAGGACAAATAAGAAGTGAAACGTTCTATGAAATATTTTATAGCACATTGTGGATTTGCAACTAGTAACAGTCTGATGAAATGATGTTGGTGAAGCACATGTACGTGGTTTATGTCAAGAAGGGACAGTTCACAAATAAGATGAAACTCTAATTGTTGAAGATGAAGAATTAATCAAGGTTAATAAAGGAAATGCCAGGGCAAAGTGTTATTGATTACAATACTAACTGGCTTTAAAAAAAAACAACTATTCATGAAGACTGACATTAGAACATAGGTTTTTTTTAAAAAGTATTATTTATTTTTGCCCTATTTAGGGGCAGTGATGGGTGATGGGGTAGATTTTATTTTATTATTATTTTTTAAAATATTTTTTTCTTTATTGATTTTAGAGAGGGGGGGAGGGAGAGGAATAGAGATAGAAACATTGATGAGAGAGAACATTGATTGGCTGCCTCCTGCATGCCCGGCACTGGGGATCCAGGCTACAACCTGGGCATGTGCCCTGATAGGGAAATGAACTGGTGACCTCTTGATGCATGGGTTGATGCTCAACCACTGAGCCACACCAGCCAGACAGATGAGGTCAATTTTTTAAAATCCCTTATTTGGTATTAAGGATACAAAATACTATAGCTGATATTGTGATTTGTTGAACCAAGTCTATGTCAACTGTAGTTCCCCTCCATTTAAAAATGTTAAATAAGAATGCTTTCTTCCCTTTTGTCAAGTCTACTTAGACAATGTGAAACATTGTTGAATTTAGACTGTGTTGATTCACAGTCTGGATAACATGAACCACTTTTCCTCCTCCTCAGAATGTAGGGCATAAATTCAATTTTAGGTCTGCATTTTGTAAGTCTGCATCATTTTTATTTTAGTGCAAAAAGACTACAAATGTGAGTACATTATTTATTTGCAAATTATCTGCATAATTATCTTTATAGTTTAATGTTCAGAGATGAAGTAAAGCACAATGATGTAAACTTAGTCTCTGGAAGACAGATTGAGAGGCTCCTCCCTTTTTTATCTGCCATGGTATATTCACTCGGAGATAAAGCATATGCACACACACACACACCACAACTAAACAAAACTCATTCCCATGCAACTATGAAAGCTGAAACCACATGGTCTGGTATTTCAAAAATCTGTAACCAATGTTAGAGAGCTACAGAAGTATTATGTACTACTCACTGCACCCTGGTATAAGACAAACCAGCTTAGTGGTTGCTGCTCATAATGCTTATACCAGCATGAGATGCAAGCCTTGCCCCCAAATGCTTACCCCAAATGAACAGAATTATTTTACTCATTCTGACTCTTCCCCAACATCTCATGAGTGGACTGTGTTGAGTATGAGCATACAAGGCACATTGATACAAGTAAAAGGATGTGAATTAGTAGCTGTCTATTTTCTTATATATAGCTGAGCTACTTAGAAAGCCGAACTCTGACAGACTGCAAGAAGCCAAACGTGTTTACATATAAGAGAAAGGTAAAGGAAGCCTTTCATTGTCTTTATTCTTTGGGATGCCTTAATCGAAAAGGAGAAACTAGAAATCACTATCGTTATTTTTTTTTAAGTACCAACAAAATTTAAGTAAACTGTGCCAAAAAGTTGTTTCATTTTTTAATGGTAGAAACTTAGTATGTACTCATTATAGATGAAAACAAGTGGTGTTCTGGGTAATTTAAGGGGTGTTGTGCGTAATTTAAAAGCTGTCAAGATAGCAATGCCCTTGGAAAATATATACATCATTAGAAAAGGCAATTTATAAATGCGATTGAATATTGAGGTTATTATAGAAATCAGCAGTTGAAATACGACTGGTTGACATAACACAAATCATATTGATACTTAGAAAGTTAAGAATTTGAGAGTATTGATTCTGTGTAGAACTGATTTGCTATTTTGATTCTATATGGCAGCAAAAATGAGAATATACTAGTGAGTGAGCTGTATTAAATATTCACTATGTGTGCAATCCTGAATATGTTCCATCTTTGGAGCTAATGGTATTATTTCATAATTATCTTAGAAAGGAATACATTTTAACCTATATACTTCAGTGTATGAAAGGGCTAACGAAAATTATATACAAATGTTAATAAAATGTGTCACTCAAATTACTGTTTTAATTGTTAAAATAGTTAAAATGTAATTAATGAGCTCCATAAAGCCAGAGAATCAGAGAGTTCCATTGAAAGTACTATCTGGAAATGCCTCATCTTATAATGATTCCTGGGACAGATTTGTGCAATAGATTTGTACAGTGTTTAGTCTATAAATGTGTGGCTTCTACAAAAGCAAAACCGATCCTAAACTGATAATGTTTACTTAGACCATTGCTTTTCAAATGGGGTAATTCTCCTCCTCCATCTGGTGGCATTTGGCAATGTCTAGAGACATTTTTGAAGGTCATGATTTGGAGGGTGCTGCTGGAATCTAGTGGGCAGAGGCCAGGGTCCTGCTGAGCACTCGCAGTGCACGGGTCAGATTCCCCACAGGAAGGAATTACACAGTCTAGAATGTCAACAGTGCCGAGGTTGAGAAACCCTGGATTAGACCAAAATATTTTAATCCATATTGTTTTCACTTAAGGATACATATTCGTGTCATTTAAAGTGTGACTGCAAGTTAACGAGAATATTTTCTTAGAGTAAATTAAAGTTTGGCATTACTTTATAGGTATGCCATGCATATTTATGTGGTTGGTTAGATGTGTCCAAACCTAAGCTTGTGAGTGTGTGTGTGTGTGTGCATGTGTGTGTAGAATAAACATATGCATCTCTCGCCTTATTAAAATATACTTGTTCCTAAGTGAGGATCTCTCTAGAATTATCTTTAAGAGTATTCTGAAATACTCTATTACCATTATGAAGTTGAATTCTAAATTCTCAGTCTAATTTTTAAAGTTATTTAGTGACAAAAATTAGTTGCCTCCAAGGGGGTCAAAGAAGGGGTTAAGGACTAAAAATGAGTTCCTGATGAGACTTTTCTTATTAGTTCCAATTTGAGAATTTCACTGAGGCTAAGGATCATGAATGAGGATGAATTCTGTTTAGTTTTGATTATAGTTCATAAAATTAAGATAGGTGAAGAATTAAGTCATTCCATAGAAAGAAAAATAATTTTTTTATTTAAATTTTTATTTTTTATTGAATTTATTGGAGTGACATTGGTTAATAAAATTACATAGGTTTCAGGTGTACAATACATCATCTGTACATTGTATTGTGTGTTCACCACCTCAAGTCAAGTCTCCTTCCATCATCACTTATCCCTCTTTAACCTCTTCTACTTCCTCCCACCCCCTTTACTTCTAGTAATCACCATGTGTCAATGAGTTGGGATTAAGGAAAAACATTTTTATGTGTTGTTTTTTTTTAATCCTCACCCAAGGATATTTTTCTATTTATCTTCAGTTAGAGTGGGAATAAGGGAGAGAGAGGGAGAGAAACATTGATGTGAGAGAGATACATCGACTTGGCTGGAATGGAACCTGTGACTCTTTGGTTCATGGGCTGACACTCTAACCACTGAGCGAAACTGGCTAGGGCATTGATTTTTATTTTTTATTTTTTATTTTTTAAGCAGGAGAGAAAGGAAGGGGGAGAGAGAGAGATAGAAACAGCAATGAGAGAGAAACATTGAGTGGCTGCCTCCTGCATGCCCACTACTGTGGATCGGGCCCACAACCCCGGCATGTTCCCTGACCAGAAATCGTACCTGGACCTCTCAGTCCATGGGATGAACTCAATCCACTGAGCCACACTAGCCGGACAGGAAAATAATTTTTATATGAAAGATTTTTATATTGAAGAGGACATTGGACACATAAGCTTTATATAGAGTATTTGACCAGTAGTTTATACAACATGGTGCATCTAAACTGCAATTAACACAAGAAGTGAAAGAGTGTTTCCTGGATATTGTTTCTGTTTAGTTCACTTTAGCTATTTTTACAAAAGTAAATTATCCAAAATGATCCAGACGATGTCGCATGGCAGATGTTCAGCTAACACTCTGTGTTTGGCTTTGTGATGTCTCATGCCCTTCTTTTGGCTAAAATCTTTGTTTAAGTTAAATATAAGTTATACCTAAAGCAATGGATAGCATGGCTTAAAAAATCTCCTTGCAAAATAACTAAAGAAATCCTAGAATTCTAAATTTGCCAAAAATATTTTTAATTAGTCAAAAGCTTTACAGGAGAATTATAGATGATTCCAATTGGAAATGATATCAATAACAATCCTCTTGTCAGCAATGATGGTAGTTGTATTCTTTATTATGAACAACCTCTTATTTTGTGTGGAAAATCAGTCACCGATCTTTTTAATTTGTATGTTTAAAAATATTGGCTTTGTGAAATTTTTTTAACTGACAAATCCTTGCTAGGAGGGACCTAAGAAGAAAAAAAGTCACAGTCCATTGAAAATGTTATGAAATCCTTTTAGTGTTGTATGAAAACTTTCTCACCACACCCAGGAAATATACAGGTTCTGTTTGCAGAATTCCAAAAAACAAAGCTGTAAGAATTTTTTTGGGAACTTTGAGGACAAGGATGTGGAGAAATAAGAACTGAGAGCAAAGCTGTGTTTTGTATTTCTTCATCTTCCCAGTGTAGATAGAGGTTAACATATGAGTTCTGGTGGGTACATATCAGGGCTGGAAGTGGTAAACAACTCCAGGCACCTTCTACTTAGGTCAAGCTTCTAATAACCATCAACAGTAACTATAAATATGACTAGCAGGTTTTTTTTTAGAATTAATTTATGTATTTTTATTACAGATGTTTCTCCTTTTTTCCCCACTGATACCCCCCTCCTCGCCCTCCCCGCCCTGTCCCCAGCTTTGTTGTCATGTCCATTGTTCATGCACACATGCATATAAGTTCTGTGTGGGGGGAGAGATAAATGACTAGCAGTTTTGATGACTTCAGTCCACTGTATGCTAGGGAGTACATGAGGCTAGTGGAAAGGAGGAGACAACCCTGCTGTCAAGCTCTCAGCATACAAAAAGTGAGAGACGTCTTTGCCCTTGACCTTGGCTTTGAAGTACTAGTTATCTCTGTCCAATTCCATGGCTTTGCTATGGAGTGGAGCTAGTAGCCTTGTGATTAGAGAGCTGGGGTGGAAATTTGCTGAGAAGCTTAAAATTTTACACTGTCTTATATAGAGATTTTTTTTTTCTTAAATTTGTGCTCTCTAAATTTGGGTGTCTTGTGACAGAGTTCTGGTCACCCTGACCTAATTATGGCCCTGACAATGATTATTAAAAGTGGAGCTTTTTCCTCATTCATATGGAATTTTTGAGTCCTTGAATAGGGAGATGGTAATAGTC